TTGTGTTGGCAACTACTTGTTTACTGTTTGTTGTGTACAAGTAACACGAAGAATACTACGAAACATCAAACTCTCGTGAAGTGGTTTGAGTACTAACGACTTAATCTAAAACAAATTAATAGAAATATATTTGTTATTCAATAATGATATTATAAACCAAGAGATAAATTCCAAATTTGCTTTTTGTTTTGTTCCTTGTCTACCCATAAACTGAAATACACTGGCGAATCACGAGACAGAAATAAGCAAAAATACTTATTTTGGAGAAATTCATGTTTCTCCGTCTTATATCCAAAACAACTTTCAGTTTCAGAATACAGAGCTCCAAAATGTCTTCTCTTCTCATCTTCCTCTCCATTGTCTTCTTAACCATAACAAATCTACCTCTAAGCATCACTGACACTGTCCTTTCCAACAACAATAACCTCTTCTCAGTCTCAGGTAATCGTCAGTTTTAGTAATTAAGAATCTTCTCTCTTCTGAAAAGTTTGTCTTTGTGCAGAGTCCTCTGGTGACTTCATATTCAAAGCAAAACCGAGTTTCGAACAGGAGGCAAGAGGTCATCACAGAGAATCCCAGGTTTTGTGTCTTGGATTTATAAGATGTTCAAGAAAATGGAAAAATCGGATCTTCTTCGACCAAGAGAAGCATCCTGATAGAAAGTCTAGACGGATTCTGGAACAAATTAGCAAAGATACTCAGGTTCACTTTCAAGGCAAGAAGAAAATATCATCAAGATACCTGAAAGATATAGGAGATAAGAAGTTCTTTTTCCCATTTCCATGGTTTCATCCTCGAAACCCGTTTGCGCCACCACCTTCGATTTTCCCACCAAACCCGTTTAAGCCACCACCTTCGATTTTCCCACCAAATCCGTTTAAGCCACCGCCTCCTTCGATTTTCCCACCAAACCCGTTTCAACCGCCACCACCTTCGATTTTCCCACCAAACCCGTTTCAGTCTCCTTCTCCTCCACCACCTTCGATATTTCCTCCAAATCCGTTTCAGCCTCCTTCTCCTCCACCTCCATCAATATTTCCTCCGCTATTTCCTCACCCTCCTCCTCCTCCTCGATCAATATTTCCTCCCAACCCATTTCAGCCTCGTCCTCCTCAACCTCCTTCCACTCCTCCTCCATCGATATTCCCTCCAATAATTCCTCAGCCTCTTCCCGCTCCTCTTCCCAGTCCTCCTCCACCATGGTCTCTCTTTCCTCCACTGCCACCGATCTTTCCAGGCCTAAATCCACCACCTCCTCCTCCACCTCCATCGATTTTTCCATTTCCTCCATTCCCATTCTTCCCACCACCACACAACCCTGGCCCTCCTCCAGCTTCATCTTCTTCAGCAATCAAACAGCCTCCTTAATCGAACAAGAGTGTCATAAC